GAAGCTGAGAGCTGGGATTTTTGTTCACTTTCTCTAGACTGAGCAGGGATAAGCCATGATGCCCATTAACCCAAAATGCCATTTCCAGTCTCCCCTGGGCAGCTATATTGTGCTAGACCCCTCAGAGTTTCAAGACTGACAAGACAGATTCTAGTTCTTTGGGAAGCTCCAGAGAAGCAGGGGTGCTGAATCAGCTTTTTATACTCTATGGCATCTAGATTTATGGTGGCTACTCTCTATCTAGATCTATACACCCAGAAACATGTGTCCAGGTGGCTAGACTGTGTTAGACCCATCAGAGCTCCAGGACTGGTGAGACAGCTGTTAGTTCTTTGGGCAATCCCAGGGAAGCTGAGGCACTGGATTAACTCTTTCTCTTCCAAGATGGAAGCTGACAGCTGAGATTTTGTTATCTGTTCACTTTGTGCTGAGCAGAGGAGATAATCTATGGCATATACCAGCCCAAAATACCACCTCTGTTCTCTCTTGCGTCACTAGACTGTGCCAGAACTATCAGGGCTCGAGGAATGGTGAGACAAAAGCTGGTTCTCTGGAAAGCCCCCTTGGAAAAGTTAGGGTTCTGGGCATGTAAACTCAACCATTTCCTCCTTCAAGTGAATCTGGGAGTTAGGGGATCTCTTCCTGATTGTATGGAACTGCACCAGGGTAAGGGACTCTGCAAGAGGATGTCCCACCTGAATCTCCACATCAGTTTCAGTGAGTCTGGTTTTGCATTCTCCTGAGATGTAGGAGCCTTTCATTTAGTTTCTGAATTTCTCACAAGGGGAATATGTCCATGAATTATTGCTGAATCAGTTTCTTGATAGTGGGAGGAGGTTTGGAGCTTCCTACTTCATCATCTTGCTGATGTCATTCTCCATGCTTTTTGTTATGTTATGTTTTCATTTTCATTTTTCTTAAGATAATTTCCGATTTTCTTTGTGATTTCTTCTTTGATCCATTGATTGTTTAGTAGTGTACTGTTTAATTTCCATATATTTGTTAATTTTCCAGTTTTCCTTCTTTTACTGATTTTTAGTTTTATTTTATTTTAACTGGAAAATACACTTTGTATGATTTCAATCTTTTTAAATTTATGAAGACTTGTGGTTTAATGTATAGTCAATTCTAGAGAATGTTTTATGTGTACTTGAGGAAAACGTATATTCTGCTGTTGAGTGGATTGTTCTGTTAGGTCAAATTGCATTATTGTGTTGTTCTAGTTCTCTATTTTCTTATTGATCTTTGTCTGATTATTCTATCCACTACTGAAAGTGGGATACTGAGTTATCAAATAATTATTGTAGCATGTCCATTTTTCTCTTCAATTCTGTCAATGTTTGTTTCATATATTTCAAAGCTCTGATAGTTGGTGCATATAAATAAAATAGAGACTAGAAAAGTGGTACAGAAAAGCAGCTAAATCTAAAGTTGTTTTTTAAAAAATTCAACAAAACTGATCTACTTTAGCTCTATTAAGAAAGAAAACTTAGGGAAGACCACTAACAAAGGATATTTTAGTTGTTATGAAAACCTATCTGTAACCAGTAGAGAACAGAAAATAAATAAGAACACAAAACACACAGACTAGCCCTTGAATCTTTCTCCTATTACACAGTTTTTGCATTTCTTAAAAGCAAGATATTACAGTACTTTTATAGTAAAAATATCAGGACCCTTTGGAAAATAGGACTTATGTCATACCCTTTCAAATTCATACAATTTCATGGGTTACACATGAAACCCACTCACAATTAGAATGGTCACAGTTTTAGATGTGTTAAATTCATGAGAAGTAAGAAAATACTACAGTGCTTTTCTTGACAAAAGATTTGACATTTGCTTTGCGGCATGGAAGTGAAGTGGGACTGTGAGTTATGAAGAAGAGGTATATGGTGGCTGTCCCAAAAGTGGCCCTCAATGATTCCCCCTTTCCCTGCGTGTGTCTACAACTCTTACTAAGAAAGTAGGTCTGTTTACCTCCCAGACTGATTTGGGGCCTGCACATATGAGTGGCTTTGGCCAAGGAGATGTTAGCAACATGATACAGATGGAGGCTTGACGAGTACTTGCACATTGGTCTGGTCCTCTTGGGCTTCTTCTGCTGGGGTCTCAGTCGCTATCCTGTGAAAGACCCAACTTAGGCCCATGGAAAAAACACAAGGCACTTGCCATAAGACCCACCTGAGCGCACAGCTAACAGTCAATACTAACTTGCCAGCCATGAGAGTGAGACCACTTGGGACCTTTCCAGCCATCCAAACCAACACCACGTGAAGTAGAACCACCCTCAACTATCTTCAGAATCCTGAGAGATAGTAAATTGGTGTTTAAGCCACTAGAGTTTAGGGTTGTCTGTTTTGTAACAGTAGATACCGAAACTGAGTGGAAGAAAGGACATCATCATTCTTAGACTAAATTTGTTGACCCTGAGATAATATCTATAATTCATTGTCCTGTTTCCTTTCTTCTACTCTGGCTTAAAAATCAAAATTTATGTTTTCCTACTTTCCTCATTTTTGAAGCAGTTGCATGAGTGACTCCAAGTAAGATAGATACCACAAAATGCCAGCCTGTTGTTCTTGGCATGAGAGACTTCATTCTAGAGAATTTCCTTTGCCCAGCTGTGTCATAGACAGAATTATCCTTATGGTTCTTAAAACTGAAATGATCATGGAACTTGGCACTCCCTTTCTCTTGTTGCCTTGGCCTCTCACCTCAGTGTCTGTGTTAGTTTTCTCTTGCTGCTATAACAAATTACCACAAACCTGAGCAGCTAAAAACAAAACTTATTAATTAATTCACAGTTTTGTGGGGACCTTATCTGGATCCTCTGTTTAGGTCTAATAATGCCAAAATCAAGGTATCATCTTGGGCCAGGCATGGTGGCTCACCCCTATAATCCTATCACTTTGGGAGGCTGAGGCAGGAGGATCACTCGACCTTAGAAGTTTGAGACCAGCCTTAGCAAAAGCAAGACCCTGTCTCTACTAAAAATAGAAAAAATTAGGTGGTCATGGTGGCGCACACCTGTACTCCCAGCTATTCAGGAGGCTGAGGCAGGAGGATGGCTTGAGCCCAGGAATTTGAAAATTTGAGGTTGCAGTGAGCTACAAGGACACCACTGCACTCTAGCCCTGGAGGTAGAGCAAGACTCTATCTCAAAAAAAAAAAAAAATAAGTATCATCTTGGTTCTTATCTAAAGGGTATGGGGAAAAAAATCTACTTACAAGCTTATTCAGATTGTTGCAGAATCCAGTTTCGTGCATCTGAGATGCCTGTTTCCTTATTCACTGTCAGCCAGCAGAGTCTCTCTCCTCCTAGAGGCTACTCACATTCTTCTCATGTGGTCTGTTCTGTCTTTACTGTCAACCATGGTGCACTGAGGCCTGCTGACACTCTCATCTCTGACTATCCAGCATCTACTTTTTCCCCATCGCTCCTTTGCCAGTCCCTTTTGCAGATTCTGTCCTGATTTTCTTAGTCAAATATTGACTTAATTATCATCATTATCATAATGATAAAAATGGTATTACTATATTAATGCTACAATTACTAATAATATTACAACTGCTAATTGGTAATTAATAACCTGTAATAAACACGTTGAGTATTTAAGCTATATGCCACAGTTTGCCTATTCCTCTATATTCATTAATTATAGTTTTCATAACTCTGAAAACAGTCATTAAAGGTGAGGAACATGACGCTCAGATGTGTCCAATAACTCATGGAGGTCACTCTGGCACAAGAGCAAGAAAGTATATACATTATTAAGTCCCAGGGTCTATTAGAGTCTTTTATAGAGCTCCACCTGAGAGAGGTCCACAGATGACTGTGGAATTCTTGTGCTGTGCTAAGCATTTTTCACAATTCATCTCTTCCTTGGATCAACATCTCTGTTCTGTCCACCTAGCTCTCATATTGTAACTTTTACATTCACATTTTGCCAAATTGGAATAATTCATGGAGCAAAGCTATGAAGTAGAGGACCAGGTCAGAAGCCCTCATGGGGTAGGAGAAAGGATCTCTATGGGAACTACCAGAGCTACTGCAATTATCTTCATCTATACTGGTCACCTATCCAAATCATAGAAATCAATATCTCTTATTAAAACTCCCCAAGGGCAATCCAACTGCAGGTTAAGTCTGAGAGTTTCATGACCTGATCCTGGCCTACTTCTCTTTTGCATCTTTCACCATTTCCTGTCTACTATTTTATGATCTAGCTATACCTCACATTTTGCAATTTTTTTGTACTTGTTTCGATGCTCTCACAGGTCAGGCCTACCATTGCACAGACTGTTTCCCTGCCTGGAATGACTACCCTTCACCACTTCCCCATTTTATCCAAGTCCTACTCAATTGTCAAGATTAGATCAGATGTCATCTTTGAGAAGATACCCCTAGGTTCCAACAGTCTGGTTGGACTAGATATTCTTCCTATGGATCCCCACAGCCCTTCTGAGCCCAACTATTATTGCAGTTGCCACACTACTTTGAAATTATCTACTTTCATGTCTGTATTTTCCATTTGCCAATGGGCACCCCAAAACCAGGAACCTGTTTTTCATCTTTATATACACATCAGCTTCCATTATAGTAGACTGAAATATTTTGAAGACTGCTTTTATATTTGCTAGTTTTTTAGGACTTCTAATCTATCATTAGATGAATTATCTACATAATAACCAGACTCACTTTGTGTCACCACCATCCCCCATATGTCTATGTGCACATACACAGATTAATAGTACCAATTAGTTCTCTTCCAATAATAAGTAATAAATAAAAAGTAATTCATTCAGCACTATTTTAATTATGCTAACATGTAAATTCCAGAGCTATTCTGTTCTCATTGTTGAGAAAAGTTATTAGATAATCCATTAAAGAATCAATTAACACCACACAATTTACCTTTCTAATAGGAAATATTTCTGGTAAAAGAAGAAATTTTTATTGCATTTTTAACCTAAAACACATGGATTTTTTTTTTCAGGTTGGACAAGCCCACTGAAAGTTACTCCTTTAAAACCTCATCATGAAGCATGCTCAATAAATCATGCATATACATTTGATGAGGAAGCAGCGTGTACAGTAAGATTTTTTTACTGGGTGATTTTACACAATAGTTATCATTAGTTCATTTCATTGTCTGTGCATTTGATATTTCATGCCCTAACAGAATAGCTACGTGCCAGGCACTGTGCAGACCTTTGTGGTCAATGTATGTTACGCGTTATCCTGTGTCGTTCCTACAACAATACTGTGGGGGAGGAGTGAGAAGTGGATGCCGCTGGTGCCCAATCCAGACCCCCTTTCCTAGCAAGTGTGCCGACCCCCAGGAACACTGAGTGGTGATCACTAAAAGGAGAACAGCCACCAGCCTGGAAGACTGCACCCTTTCGCACTGCCCGCTCAGATGCTGGCAAGTGACTGGCTGACTGACTTCCTTGAGGGAACAGACCAAAGCTGCTGTCCAGCTGAGACAGCATTCTTTCTGGCTTCTTCCTCTCATCCCAGCCACTCTCCTCACTCCACTGCACCTGAGGGTGCTCCCACACTCTATCACTTGAACAACAATCCTATCTCAATCTCTACTTCCAAGCAAGAGTATGTTGTTATTCCCATATTATTTGAGAAACTGAATCCCAATGCTATTAAGTAATTGACTTTTGGTCAGACAGACAGTAAATACAAAACCACAATTTAAACCTAGATGTTTTCTGAATTTAAGGATCATGTGCTTACTTAATCATTTTCCTGGATGGTTTTACAGTCTATAAACCCTTGACATTTAAATTAGGATACTTAAAGACTGCTGAGAGATATATAGACATGCAAAGATTTTTTAAAACAGCCTTATTGAGATATATTTCACAAACCATAAAATTCACCCATCTAAAGTGTGTGGTTCAATGTTTTTTAGGATATTCACAGAGTTGTGCAACCATCACTACAATCTAATTTTAGAATATTTTGATCACCCCCAAAATAAACTCCATAGTCATTAGCAATAAAGATATGAATACATTTTAAGGACTCAATTTCCAATTCCGTAATTCCTCAGCGTATTCCTTCCAAAACTGATCACCCTGAGAATTCACCTGCAGTAATGTTGTCATGCTGGTTTCTTCTTGTCCCACCTCTCCCTTCACAGCAACCCTTTCTAATTTTGTCACAAAGGGGCACTTGCATGGGCATACCTCTCGCATATCAACAGTTGCAGTACAGTATGTGGTCATGAAACAAAGAACCTGAAACAAAAAAATTATTTAAATTACATGTCATCAATGCCTCCTTTAGTCAAGATGCCACACAACCATGGTAGGGCTTCATGTTTTTCCTTGTCCTGTGCATTTTTCTTATATAAGGAAGTCATGCAATTAGAGGGGTAATTTGGCCTGTTTGGGGCTATTCCAAATTCAGAAAAAATGTAGAATTTGATGGCAAGGATAATGAATATATGTATTTATTAGTTTTACTTACATCTTCTAACTCTTATCAAAGGATCCATTGCTCCTGTAGGTAAGTCCTGTGAGAGTAAATCAAAGTGAACACTATAAGACATTGAAGGCATTGTTGCTTTTTTTCAACTAAGCTACAAATTCATGGCAAAGCTCCATGCTTTATCTAATGATTTTAGAATTAGAATTTTGAGGTGCTTGTCATGCAAGTGCTTATTAGTGTACTTGTTTAAATATAAAATAAGTTTAGGCTTTTTATGAGAGAAAATAAATCTGGATATTTTACTTCCAGTAGTGGAAGCTAATAATATGAACCAATAGTTTGCCAAAACAACTGGATTAATATTTATTTTTCTTTCAATATCAAGGAGCTAATAAGGTACAGAGAAATTACTGGGCCAACAAGAGGACAGAGACTCTTAAAATTTAAGCCTAGCACTTAGGGCCACTTTGGCCTCGCAGGAATTTGCTGTTCTGGCAGAGGCAACCAAGAGTTTGATTTGAACTTTTGTCAGTCTCATAAGGTTTAAACTCAGTAGTTGGGGGTTGATCCATGAAAATCACCCACTACTTTGGATGGATTACCTGAAAGTCTGTGCCCTATAAGAAGAAATAATATACATATGGTTGGAATCACTGAAGAAGAAAAACTAAATAGTGGAACAGAATGTGTTAAACCATGGTTTATCAACCTTGTTATAATCAACATTCTGGGCCTCATAATTCTTTGCTTAGGGGGACAATCCTATGTAATGTAAGATGATAATAAATATACCTGATCTCTATCCACTAGATGCCAGTAGCACCCTTCTCAGGTGAATAAAAATTCCTTCTCAAAATGGTAGAAAATGAGCAGCAAAGTAAACCAAAAGAAAGCACAGAAAGAGAAATAAAAAAGATTAAAAAGTAATTAATGAAGTAGAGGACATGGATTAACAGGCACTCATGTTACCTTCCAGAAAACTAGAAAAATTATAAGAAATAATGGGAAAAGCAGAGGGCCAAGATGGCAGACTAGAAGTGGCCTGTACAGCTCTGCCCTCACGGGAAGGATTGAAAGAGAAGACAGAGAGAGAAAGAGAATGGAGAACCACTGTTTTGAGTTCTCTGAGATTATTTGAGCAATTCATAGACTGCACTGCATCCAGAATCAGAGTGTATCCAATAGTTAACTAGATCGGATCCAGTTAGAGGCCTTAGGTAGGTTTTGTTTTTTGTTTTGTTTTATTTTGGTTTGGTTTGGCTTTTTGACATGGGTTTATCTCAATTCAAGGAGTCTGGAACTTTACCTTCTGACAATCATGCTAATTTTATAGGAATTAGGGACCCAGAACCTGTGCATTTTCAAAAAATGGGTTAACCTTACTTGAGAGAATTTAGAATTAAGATAGCCACATAGAGAAGTTTTAAAATTGTTTACTTGTGGTGCACGTTAGTAAAAAAGAGATCAAAGATCCTGCAAAAGCAAAGGGATGCATTTTTTTTAAATTGGTATGCGAAAGCATCTGAAAAATTGAATGAATCAAAAATCGCCTCCCTAAAAGATTTCTTATAAAAGGCAAAGGAAAGTCTTAATCAACAAACTCAGGTCATTACCAAAAAGGACTGTACCTTTACTGAATTAACCCCTGACTTCTCCTCCTCACTATCAGTCTTTACCCAAATATTTTGAGTCTACTAACCCTTCTGCTCAATTACCTTTTAACCCTGACGATAATGAAAAAGGGGGAGTTAAACAAATGATTTACAAAGTGATCAGCTAGGCCTGCCTGTCATAACCATTTTTACTCCACGGTCTAAAACTTAACTTAGAGTCATCTTGAAAGACTTCCTTAATCAAGGAAAAATCCTCAAAAATGTACCAAGGAATTTAGAATCATCATAGAAGTTTACAATCCAGAACTTGTCGACTTTTACCAATGCATTTGTATTACATTTGGACCTGGTGAGGCTGGAAAGAGGACATCAGCATCAGAAGGGAGAGAACCTAAGGAAGATATTTAAAGACCCTCCAAAATCTCCTCCTCACAAGGAGGGCCAAACGGAGCTAGAAAAATTACTGAAAACCTTTTAAATTCAATCTCTAAGGTTTTTCCACAAAAAAACTGATTGGTTAATCATACAATCTTGCAGACAAAAAGAAAAAAAGATGAACCAGTTTTAGATTACAGAGTTTACTTAGAAGCAGTATTTGTAAAACATTCTGGACTAGGAATACAAGGGGTATTTCCTGCAGAGACCGAAATGGCATTAAGGCCTCTATTTCTAAATGTACTTTCTCCTGAACTTCCTAACCTAATTTAAAAACCTAAACTAGGATGGAAGTTACTGCTATAGTTGAATTGGTGGCCTTAGCTTTTGAGAGGATCCTAGAGCAAGAAAAAACCCAAAAGACCAACAAGCTTATGTCTCTCCACTTACAACTACAGGGGCCAAGACCAAAGGGATCCTCTTATCTTCATGTTAAACTGCAACAGAGAGGTTCTAGAAAGAGAAATTCTTCACCCCAAGGTGTCTGCCTTCATTGCAACCAGGACCCTGAGAGAGACAGTGCCCAATCCTGTCAGTCCACCAATGAGCTTGCGTCTTTCAGTGGGACTGTTTCACCACCAGGGGGAGCTCATTGATGGGGCTCCCAGGGACTCTGGTAGATTGTATCCCTTAATGCCTTTAAATAACCATGGGGAAACAAAAAGGAAGATAAATGGGAAACCCTGCACAATTCTGGTGGATACCGAGGCCACCTTATCTACCATAAACCCCACTTTAATAAACCAACAAATCCCTTGAAGTAAAAATGTCATTTCTGTGCTGGGGGTTTTGAATCAAGTTCAAGAAGTTCTTCTATGTGACCTGTCCAAGTGACATTGGGGCCATTTTCAGAAAAACGTTATCTTTTTACTATGTGCTACTGTGACAGTAAACTTGCCAGGGTGAGACTTACTTCCAAGCTAAACGGCCTATGAAATTCTCTTCAGGGGAAGAAATAATCTTAATTTTCCTTACTCCTCTGAACCAGAACTATTGTGCTCTCTGCAGGCAGAAATCGGTAAGATTCAAACTCAGGCCTGTAACATCCCTGACCTTTCTGAAATACCTGAATGTTTGTTGGCATCTTCCTCAACTGAAATAGGAAGGGTTGAAAGTGTAGAGCCTTTAAAAGTCCAAATAGATCATTCTAGACCTTTGCCTAAATTGTCCCAGTATTTACTAAGGCGTGAAGCAATCCAGAGTCTTCTGCCAATTGTATGGGATTTAATTAAACAAGAACTTATAATTTCACCAGTTAAATTCTATCAATTAAAAATAAAAATGGATGAGGTAGGAGATTTGTTCAATATTTACAAGCAATTTATAAAATTGTGATACCAAGATCTCCTGTATTTCAAACCCTAATACTTTGTTGTCCAATGTGCCCACTGATTCAGAATGGTTCTCAGCAACAGATGTGAAGGAAATTGTTGCCAACAGATGTAAACTGTAAGAAATTCTGCATAATAAAGACTTACTTTTTCCTTTTAACTTCTCTAAGGTACATATTACCGTTTAAAACAAAAAGTATAACATTGTCCTCTGACATTTTTTAGGAATGCATACCTGACATATATGACAACTGTAGGGGAAGGCATG